ACTACAGGATCATTACGAATTGGCGTCAAGCATTGTAATTGCACCCAAAACCCTGTGTCAATTGTGAGGACCCCTATGTTTGAGTGTTTGGGGGCACTCCCAGGTCTACTATGATGTAGGGTATGCGGTACAGGGCTTAAGGGTCCTGAGGACAGTTTTAGGGCGTAGGGTCCTGATGTTTTGGGAGTGTCATAGGGAGCTCAGCAAGAACAAGTTGCAAAGGCGAGGCCCAGAAACTAAGAGAGCCCACTGCATGCATCAAGTCCTAGGATCATTGATGTAGGTGCCCACCGGCCTTAGCAGCCCTTTCCCTTTCTGCCCTTATTGCCTACCCTGAGCCTGCGAACGCCCGCGCCCACCAAACTTTTCATGACCTTGGTTCTGGGGTAGCATAGTTGAATACGTTTTTTTTTTGAGGCGGGGACCTTTTTCCTTAAGAGAACCACCATGAAATAAAGTTTACGCTTTTTGTCTTCCTGGTTACTTCAAAGTCGATCGATGCATCAGAGGCCATCTGCATGGCTCAACCCTTTTCCCCTAAGCCTACAGGCAAAGTTTAGGGTTTAGGGTTTAGGGTTGAGGGTTTAGGGTTTAGGGTTCATCCTACTTCCCAAGCTTGTGTGAAGGGATCGGAAGGCATGGATTGGCAGTTATTCAGGCCCCTGCATTCAACCCGAAAAACCCCGATGCTCTTGGAGACAGAGGCCCAACCCAAAAAGCAAGCCCTAAATCCTAGCCCTAAACCCCTTAAAACCCCAAACAACCTGAACCCCTGCACCCCTGAAGCCCTGAAGCCCCCAAGCCCGGAACTCCTGAACCCCCAAAGACCCCTAAACCCTAAACCCTAAAACCCTAAAACCCTAAACCCTGAAACCCTAGACCCTAAACCCCGAGGCCGTAGCCAACTTTTCCGTCGTGGACCTCCGGACACCTCCTAGCGACTCCCTGGTTCAGGGACTGGCCAAGGACCCGGTGGGTTTAAGGTATAGCAAACTAATTTTAATGTTTTGAATATTTTTACTATGTTTAATATTTTTAATAGTTTTTATATTTTGAATATTTTGAATATTTTGAATATTTTGAATATTACAAATATTTTTAATATTTGTAATATTTTTAATATTTTTAATATTTTTAATATTTTTAATATTTTGAATATTTTTAATATTTTTAATATTTTTGTTATTTTTAATATTTTTAATATTTTTAATATTTTTAATATTTTTAATATTTTTAATATTTTTAATATTTTTAATATTTTCAATATTTTAATATGTATATATGTACATACATATGTACATACATATTTATATACACATATGCATCACTCATTTCTCTCATGTCGGGCACAGAGTCCATGTTCGTGCGCAGCGCCCGTGGCACGCACCTGATTAAATTTGTGGCTGGAGCAGAAATCTGGGTTTCGCAGGATGAAAAATCACATACGAGGTGTAACACATGTTTGCACTCAGCATGTGGGAATGGCGGAACGGATTTAACCGGCACAGCAAGAAAAACCGTCCCCTCAACAACCATCTAATCCACGAGACAAAACTTCAAATGACATCGGAGCCAAGATGGCGAAAAGCACCAGCTGAAGTGCCAATGGAAAATAAACCCGGAAGCCTAAACCCTAAACTCTGAGCCCTGAACCTTAAACCCTAAACCCAGCGAGGCTTAGGATAAGGGGTGGGGTCTCCAGTTGAAGCTTCGGAGGAGGCTTTACGCAGCGTTTCTGCGAAGGTTGGGTGCATGGGGTTCGCCTTAGCCCTCAACCCTAAACCCTAAACCCGATTTTTTTGAAAAGTCCTAAACCCTAAACGTGCATGATTAAGCAAGCGGCTTCAACCCTAAACCGTAAATCCTAAACCGTAAGCTGTCAACAATTCATTTGCAATAGGGATAGAGTCCTTGGAGTTCCTCTTATACTTCTAATATGGAGCCTTCCCTGGACCCTAAACCCTAAACTTAAAGCCTAAACCCTAAACCCTGAACTCCGAACCCTGGTCTAGTTATTTGGTGCTATATTAAAACTTCCCCCCCAATAAGCTTCATCTCTAATCCCTTCGGCAACCAGAGGCCTCCCGAACAGCCGGGACCCCAAACCTCTTTGAAGCTTCGATGTTTGGGGTTTTATGGTGTTTGATGGGGGCTGGTATAAGATATAAGAATATATTGCTTCTTATTTTATGGTGCTTAGGGAACCCTCACCGTAAAGTCTGCCAGGAGCTTCATGGCGGAACTACAGTGATCATGTACAAGCTCGGAGATGGCATGGGGAGCGATCCGAATGCGCCCAAGGAGATGACACCCGAGGAGAAGGAGGAGGCGGAACCCGGCAAGAGACGGGCTTGACACAGTCAGCGAAAATCATGGTGTAGTATGTATAATACTAGTGAATCTCGTATATAGTCCCCACAATATTTTTGTGGCAAGGTCTACCCGCTAAGCCCTTTTTCAAAGTCTTCAGGCCCCTGTAGTAGGATTTCTTTTGGTCTGGTTCGCGTTCAAGTCCCTTGGTTTGCCCTTGTAGGCCTGAGTTCTTGCTCTCTGTGTTTGTCTCTTGTGTTATTTATGCATCTAGGTTTTCTAGGGTTCTGCATGATGTACAAGCGTTTTATGCAAGATTTGTAAGAGTGTTTGACAGGACACTTTTTTAAGGATGTTGTAGGGGATGAATTGGGGAGCATGTAGACCCGCTGATCTGCGAAATACGATTTCAGTAGGGTGAAAGTCGGTTTACTAAGCAAGGGTCTACATATTGCTGCTGATGCACAACATCCTGCATCATTTTCTCTACTGAGCACCCCACAATCGCCTGGCGTTTAGGCAGTGCAGCAGCATAGATAAACCCAAACCTGTACACCCCAAAATCCCACCGACCCTAAACCCCAAGCCCTAAAAACCTCAAGCCAAAAGCCCTGAACCCCCAAGCCCTGCGACTGAAACCGTTACTGAAAGCCTTGAGCCATAAAACCCAAGACCTCGAACTAGGGCTTAGGGGTTAAGTTTTCGGGATTAGGGTTTGGGGCTTTGGGTTTAGGGCTTGGGGTTTGAGGTTTAGACTCGAATATCCCAAAGCCCTTCTCTAGTCATAGCGGCTTCTCATGGTATCCGACATCTTCGGTTGAAGAGATGGGCAGGGGGCATAGAGGCAGTAGGGCTTCAGGGGGGCAAGGGGGACTGGGGGTCCTTTGAAAGAAGTTGCAAAGCCTGCAAGCCGGGTCCCCGAGCTTGAAGTCTTGTACCCTAAACCCTAAACCCAAACCCCTAAGCCCTAAACCCAAGCTCTAGCCCTAACTTAAACTTTAAACCCAAACCCCTAAAGCCTAATCCTCGAAGGTCAGCAAAGCCAACGGGGGCAAGGGTGATTCAATGCTTACATCAGCTTGGAAGCACATCCGGGAGATTCGTGCCAATAGCGGCAACGTGGTGGCTTGGCCAATTCTTGGTGGTTTGGCCCTAAACCCCGAACCTTCCTGAGATTTGCATGTAGCTTCTGTTTGGGAATGAAGTCAAGACGCTGCGGCTATTGAAGATGAACTACTGTTGATGATATAAATCCTGCATTACCTTAAGGACCCTAAACTATGGGAATTATGGTATATTCCTTAATATGGGTAATGCAGGATTTATATCATCAACGTAGCACTCATCACGCGACGCAGGATCTTACTCCCAATGTAGAGGTCGGAGGAAGTCGGCATGTGATTCCTGAAAACTCCTCCTTATATAAACCCTAAGCCCTAAACCCTAAACCCTAAACCCTAAACCCAAAGAGGTCTGCAAGGGTTTCCATAAAGGGCTCTTATAAGGGATATGATGATTCTTTAGGGTTTATAAGGTTTATAGGGTTTATGAGGTTATAGGGTTTATAAGGTTTATAGGGTTTCCATAAAGGGTTCTTATAAGGGTTATGACGACTCAGGGGCCTTCAGAATTAGAAGAGGGTTCCTCTGGAGGGTTCCGTTATGAGGGTTCTAAGAGATACTATAAGGGTTTAGGGTTTAGGGTTTAGGAGATACTATAAGGGTTATTCAATATAGGGTCCAAAAGTGGGGAACCCGAAGGAATAGCACCCAATTTCGGGCCTTAGTAATCAGAGTACGTATGGGTTTCAGGGTATCTCCGTAGTAGAACTATGATAAGCAACCTCAAGGAATAGTATTAGAACAGTACGAGTATCTGTGCAGATCCCTGTTCGGCTCCGCAGCGAAAGTACCCTTCCCTAGAAGGACAGTAGTTCTATCCCTAAACCCCAAACCCCAAACCCTAAACCAGTTTGTGGTGGACATTTTCTCAATTTCCATGCTTCTTGGTTTTCAATCCCCGTAGCCTTGAAGCCCAAGCCCCCAATCCGTCCTTGTCCCCCAATCCCAAAACCCGGAACCTAAACCCATTCCCGAGGTGGCAAGTGTTGTGAGTGTGGTGGATCCGGAGAACTGCTTGACCAAGCTACTGTACCTGCGGCTTGTCTTCCCTAAGTTTGGAGTTTAGGGTTTAGGGTTGGGCAGTTGGCTAAGTGAGGGTTTCCTCAAACCTTAGATCCCCTAAGCCCTAAGCCCTAAACCCTAAACCCAAACCCGCAAAAAACCCAAACCCCAAACCCCAAACCCCAACCCCTACACCCTACGCAGCCCTCAACCCCAAATAACACTAAACCCTACACAGCCCTCAACCCTAAACTCTGAACTCACAATAAGCCGAGAAGCCTTGCAGAGCCCTCAGCCCTGAACCCTCAAGCCAGAAACCCTGAAGGGCTTAAGCCCAAAGATGTATGGGTATCTGTGCATATGTATATATATATATGTGTATATATACATCTACATATGTATGTGTAATAGTTCTATGTACAAATACATTATCTATATTATGGTCATTTTCATGTACACATATTCTGCAGGATGTTTTGTTTTCGGCCGGCGTCGAAGCACCGTTGCGTCGGGCCACTGTCTGAGAGTTGTTGGGGTGCTTCGAGTTGAATCCTTGGTGCTCCTGTGAGGAGGTTGTGTTTAGAGTTCACGGTGTATCTTTGTGCTCTTCTTGTTTTTTTTTTGTTTGTTTGTGTTTTTTTGTTTTTTGTGTTGAGGGATCCCGCGGCGCATCCGAGGTTGTACAGATTCAACGATGAGGACGACTATCCCTACTTCCCTCGCAAGCTCGGGGCTTGCGATATCGGCTGGAACTTCCAGACCGGATCCGTTGCAGGGGGAATTTTCTGAGTGGGGCCATAGGCACCCTATCGATCGAGTCGCCGTGGAGCAAAAGAAGCCGGAGTCCAGGCTTCATCGTCCCCTAAGCCCTAAACCCTGAAGATGTTTAAAAAGGGTTTAGGGTTTAGGGCCTAAGTTTAGGGTGTACAGTTTAATTGTATATCCGACACCCCTAGCAGCCCTAGCAGGTGTTGCACTGGATCTTCCCTGCCCGGAAGCACGTTAGATCCCAGATGTATCGCTGTGAAGGATTGAAAACGCCGAGTAATGCTAGCGGCGGGCGACCCGAAGCACCGAAATATGTAAACCCTAAACCCTAAACCCTATATCCCTTAAAGGACCCATTTAAAATTTATAACAGCAAGGCCCCTTAAGCTCGATGCTTTAAGATAGAAGCAAGACGAGAACTCCACACCTGAACCAAACCAGTATAGCCGGCGGAATAGACTAGTAGTAGCATGCCGCCCTTGCAACCCCCATGTGATGTTGCTATGTTGCAGCACGAAAACCATATCATAACTCGGGTCACGAGAGTCCAAGAGGGGCCTGAGTGATTGCCAATGCCATTCCTTCGAGGTCCAGTCGAATCTAATCGTTAGACTACGAATTTGGGTTTAGGCTTATGGGTGAGGGGTTTAGGGTGTTTGGATTTTGGGATAAATTATGCTATACCTCCAAAAAGGAATCAGTAGAATAGGGTTCCTGCAAAGGGGTCCATGGGTTTAGTATAGGGGCCTAAATGGCTTAAATCACAAGAAGGGGCTTGGGTGAGGCTCATGGACAAGAAGGACCCTGAGAGCAATCCGTACACGTTAATTAACGTCAAAGACTACGGTTGATGATATAAGTCCTGCATTACCATTCATCAGGAATATACCATATTCCCATGGTTTAGGGTCCTTAAGTTAATATTACCCATCATAAGGAATATACCATACTTCCCCATAGTCTAGGGTCCTTAAGAAGTAATGCAGGATTTGTATCATCAACCGTATGAAACCCTTCACTTCAATCCCTAAGTCATACACCCCAGCGCCCTAAGCCCCAAACCCCGAAAGCCCTAAACCCCTAAGCCCTAATCCCCCAAGCCCTAAACCCCTAAACCCCTAATCCCCTAAACCCCCAAACCTCTGAACCCCTAAACCCTCATCCCCTAAACCCTAAGCCCTACACCCCGAAAGCCCTTCCCCAGCCACCGGGCAGGCCGTGCGACGGGGTGTCAACATTTCGGCTTCGATCACGACGCCCATGTGCCAACCCGATTTTCATTGGTTTCAGCGCTACAACGACGCAGCCATCCATAATGGTTCCACAAGCGATTCCGCAAGGAAATACAATAATCTGTAACAGTGTCAACACGATTTTCATTGGCTTCAGAACTTAGTTCTCCAATACCCAACCTTTAAACTTTTTGGGTTCTTATAAGTTAATAGTCATCTGAAAGTTTGACCTTTTATTTCCATGGCTTATTGGGGAAGTAAGAGAATGTCATCTCGCTGCGTTTTGTTTTGAAAGTTTCTTTCAGTCTATCAGGCCTCTACAGCAGCTCTATACCGGTTTCCACGCTGTTCTGCAATCATCTATACCAGTTCCACAGGGGCTTCTGCAAGGATCTACCAAAAGCCGATAATGGTTCTATGAGGGTTTCTGTAGGAGTCTACAACCCCCAATAGTGCGAGAAGGGAGTCTATAGCGGTTTGTATACTCCATAGTGGTTCCAAAAGCGTGTCCATAATGCTGGAAGGGCTCTGTAATAGGCAAATGTTCTACGACTCTTTGCCTTTCCCGAGGTTCACATGAGTCGTTCTCTAAATACGGGTCCTTTTTGGGGGTCCCCAAAATAGTATGGCACCCTTATTTAAAGGGCCCCAAAAGGGACTCTAATTTTGGAGAGCTACCCTAAACCCTAAACCCACAGCGTAAAGAGCGAAGCTCCAAATCCCCTCCTGCTCTGGCCGCGGTTTTCGGGTTTACCGGATCTCGGCCGCGGGCGGAGGCGGATACAAAGAAGCCTCAGTACTAAACCCTAAACCCTAAACCCTATTGGGAAGAGTATACAAGCCCCCCCCAAGCCTTAGTTTGCTTAATTCAGGCTCCAATGCTGGGTTCCTTTTCAAGTATTCAATCGAAGTTACCATAATAAAGAAACCCTATTATTTACTAGAGATCCCCATGTATGGTAACTTAAATTAAACTCCTTAACAAGAGCCCAGAATATGTCCTCCCTCGAGATCGGGCAGGTTGTTGGAATACGTCTTTGCAGAAGGAGGAATGCTACCCTTGGGCTTAGGGCGTTTGGGGCGACTTGGGGGGTATGGTCTAGGACATTTTCAGGTGGGTAGTTACCGTTCTAGGAGCCTTATAGAAGGTCTAGATACCTTACAGAAGCCTTATAGAAGCCCTATATACCCTAAACTCCCCACCTGTAGCTTCCTTTAACTTGGCCCTAAACCCTAAACCCTAAAGAACCCTAAAGGCCCTAAACCCTAAACCCTAAAGAACCCTAATGGGGTTGAGGTGGTGGGATTAACGGGTCCGAAAGACCTGATCTTCGAACCCCAGACCTCCCACGACGTCCGGCTCTTCCACGCTCTTGGTTATCAGGGTTTCCCTAAACCCTAGAGCCTTGAACCCTTAAACCCTAAACCCCTAAACCCCTAAACCCTAAACCCTAAACCCTAAAGCCTTGAACCTCTAAACCCTAAACCCTAAACCCCTAAACCCAAAACCCTAAACCCTAAAGCATTGAACCCCAAAAGCCCTTAAGACCCTAAAACCTAAACCCCTAAACCCTCAAGCCTTGAACCCCTAAAGCCCTTAAAACCCTAAAGCCGAGACCCCTAAACCCTCAAGCCTTGAACCCCTAAAGCCCTTAACACCCTAAAACCCTAAACTCCTAAACCCTCAAGCCTTGAACCCCTAAAGCCCTCAAAACCCTAAACCCCTAAACCCCTAAACCCCTAAACCCTAAACCCCTAAACCCTAGACCCTAAACCCTAAGGTCTTGATCCCCTAAAGCCTTTTAAAAACCCCGAAAGAATGAGCCGCGCCCGGCGGCTCCTCCGCCGCGGCCTCCTCGAGCCGGCGGGTCGCGGGCAAGGGCGAGGCGCCCTTTGATCAGGGCTTCGGGTGTTTAGGGTTCTTTAGGGTTTTTTTGGGCCTTTTAAGGGTTTTTAGAGTTTTTATTTTTTTTTGGTTTCGGGTTTTTAGGGTTGTTTTTAGGATGTTTAGGGTTTGGGGCTTAGGACTTAGGGGCTTCAGGCTTTAGGGTTTGGGGCTTAGGGTTTTAGGGGTTTGGGGCTTAGGGCTTTAGGGTTTGGGGCTTAGGACTTAGGGTTTGGGTTTGGGGTTTAGGGTTTTAGGTTTGGGGTTTAGGGTTGGGGTTTAGGGTTCACGGTTTTGGGTTTAGGGTTTGCATGGGGTTTCGGGTTTAGGGTTTGTGGTTTGGGGTTTGGGGTTTAGGGTTTGGGGGGTTTAGGGTTAGGGGTTTAGGGTTTGGGGTTTGGGGTTTAAGGTTTCGGGTTTGGGGTTTCAGGTTAAGGGTTGAGGGAGGCACTGTTGGGCTCTGGTGTGGCTTGTTTATTACTACTTTCAGGGTCATGACAACCACTGTCGCTAATTAAACCATGTTTACGGCGGTGTTCTATTGTGTCTTGTCTAATGTGTTTTAGCTAAAGTTTGCATATGAAGATTCTGGTGGTTTTCATAGAGTTTATACCTGCCCAAATATATATATATATATAT